GGGTTTCTGGATTAAAGTGCATTGATGTCTAATGGTCAAGTTTGTGTCTGTACACTTGTGAATCGCTGCATGAATGCAAATATGGACATTTCTCCAAGGCCTGGAGGAGTCTGTGAGCGTGCATGAATTAGTGAATGAGTGTGTGTGAGTCACTGTGTGGCTGTGATCAGTGTGATGAAGCACAGTGACAGAGCTCCGGCCATCTGGAGACAGATGACAGTGTGAATCACCAGAGAGGAGGACGGAGGGAGAAAGAGGTGGGTGGCAGGAGGGGTGGATGTACGGAAAGACGGATGAAGGGAGGGAGGAAGGAGAAGAAGAAGAAGGAGAAGGTGGAAGGGGAAGACGAGGGAGGAGGAGGAGGAGGAGGAGGGTGACACCTTCATCAGCTGGTGGGCGGGGGCAGGAGGGTGCTCACAAGGACGAAGAGTTTTTTGCATGATCTTAAAGCCTTTCTCAAACACCCACCCACACACACACACACACACACACACACACACACACGCAGAGACCTTTTGGCGCTAGCTAATGACCTGCTTGTCAACATTTTAGTCTAATCATCCTAGAGTGAATGGGGGCGGCACCTCACACGCTCATCCAAACAAGCACACATGCCCATAAGCTTACTTACACACTGTTAGCTGCTGAAATAGAAGTCTGCTTGATGCCTGATAAGAAAATGAGCCTCCAAATAGATCATTTACTAAAGAGAGGAAAATCACCCAGCACTCAAAAGTGCACAGAAACATAGGGCCTAGATAATCTCTCGGCTGGTTTAAGCTTATCGCCCCTCTGCTCCAACAGTCGTCTCCCCTCTCTGCCTCTTATTTCCCCTTCACAGTAGATTGTGTCCTGCTGTTTTCCCATTTCTCTTACTGGTGTGCCCCCTCTTCACAATCTCTATCGGTCTCTCTCCCTCTCTCTATCTCTCCCACTCCGCAGCTCTTTCCTCAAATAGACAACACAGATTGAAGCATCTTCTTTGCATTCCAGACATTTCTCTGTTTTGGGTAAATAGATAATGTCTGTTTTTCAGCTCCCGTTCCGTCCTTTGTTGCTCAAGAGTGAGTGTGGAGAGCAGATGGGAGATAGGGGGAGCAGCAGAGCGTGCAGGTAGACCAGGATTTGAGATTGAGAGTAGCAGGCAGACAGGTGGGAGGAATAAGAGTATAGATGTGCACATAGTCATCATGGAAATACATATGGGAAACATAAGGCACATGGCAATGTGTGTTTGATTGGTGGATTGGCTTACAGGAACTCAACAGCGTTTTTTTTTTTTTCCTAATCTGATCGAGTACTCTCACTCAACCAACTGTCACGCAGCATCCACAGACTTGTACCTTCGCTTACATTGATCCAATAGAAAACACAGCAGCTCCATGACGGAGGTTTAAAACAACAGGTTGTGAATTTACTGTGCGTGGATTTCAAGCAGACCTCAGAAAAATGAGGAAAGTTGTGATAGTAGAGTACTTACTCACTTGAAGACTGATGCTTACTTTTTTTTGCAAATCAGTCTGTTAATGATTTTCTCGTCACGTGCTGGATAATATGTCAAAAACTTGGTTAGAATTCTTAAAACGATGTTCTTAATCACTGGTGGTCCAAAGGTCATTTTTAATTCATCATCACAAACAGCTGAAAATCTCCATAAGTGAGATAGTGTAATGTTGTATTTTTCTAAAAAAAACAACAACAACAACAACTAATAACCATCAAAACTGAAAGAGAATTCTGTCCAGACAGTCAGTGACTGTTAGCTTTACACGCTATTCAAGTGAGAACATGTAGGAGTATAGCGGTTGTACGTGTATATTTTGCTCTCACTGTGCCTTGAAATAGTAACAAATTCATAATAAACCCAACAGCAGAGAGCTTATGTTGTGATCCCGTCAAGCCAGGGTTTGAAGTCTGTGTCTAATTGAGGGTTCAAAGCCATGAAAACATTGGAGAAGTCCCAAATCATTGTAGCCAGCGAGCCCTCCACAGAGGAGCAGCTGCTGCTGAGGCTGCAGGCTGGGGGTGCTGTCCGTGGTGTTGAAGAGAAGTTCAGCTGCGCTCTGCTCTGTCCATGGTGCTGAAATGTCAACGTACAGTGGGATCGTGGGATCCTTTCGGGAAGACGGAAGGCTTCTGATTTATGATAAATGATAAATAATTGAGTTTATTTAACAAAATGCAGCGGTCATTCCTGCACTAATGTATGAGATTCGAACGAGTCATCAACAGTGATGTTTTCAAAAAACAGGTGTTCACAATTAAAATGGAGTCAGTTAAAGGCCCACGTCCTTTTGTGTACCCGGAGGTCTTCCGCATTAAATTGCTCAAGTTTAAATTTGTCATATTTTGATTTCTAGAACTTCAAAAGCGAATCCCCACCAGGAAGATTTCTCCCTGCGTTTTTTTTTATAAGGACACGCACTTCTACGCGCGTGCACACACACACACACACACACACACACACTTTCGACCTTGCTCTTTCTTCGGGAGCCTCATGACGGTGCGAATACAAGCAAATGTCATCAAGCAGAAAAGATAAAAAGGAAAAGGGGGCATCAAGCCCTCTAGTCCTCAGAACATTACTGTGAGTTGCATCATGAGAGCAACACGAAGCCTTTATAGAAAGGAGCGCGTGGATGAGAGGAGAGGACGGCGGAGCGTGATCTTGCGTGTAAATGGACATGCTGAGCGACTGTCTCATGCGCCGCTGACGAGTGATTTAATATCGGCCGAGCTGGAGTGAGGAGCCGAAACACGTCATCCTCAATCTGCCTCCTCTACCCTCCTCTCCTCTCCTCTCCTCGCGGCCTCTGCATCATCTTCCTCTGCGTTTAGATGAATATAGAGGTTGATTACCGTGTATTGAGCTTTTGAGTCCACTGGGACAGCTGGTTTTGATCCCATGGAGAGGGCGCACTGCTCTCTTCAATAGCTCTTTGTCAGACGCCTCACACACATCTCTATCTTTGTCTGCGTGGCCCTTTGGGGGCGTCTGTGGCTACAAGGGAGGCGACAGTGAGACTGGTTATCAAATAAGGAGACTTAAAGCACTAGTATGCGCATGAGACATGAATGTGGTGTTTCAAACATGGCCCGCAAACAAGCATCTTCACGTCGCCCATGCGAAACATCACACATGTTGCATGCAGCTTTAGCCTCAGTTTGGATTAACAAATTCTTGTTCCTGTTTTGGGGGTTTGCAAAAGTATATGGAGAAAGAAAATCCACAAACTCCGGGTTTCCTCTCCCTCCTCGCACCGCCTCTCAGCATAGTGTGAGGCTCTGGTGCCGCTCAATGGGAGAATGGGGCAATTGCTGGTGGCTGCAGCACCAAGGGACGCGCCAGACCACCTCAGTGTGTGATATTCAACCATATTTATGGACAACGATTAAAGTAAACGTTGTTACAGGGGGCAGGATAGATAGTCTAGCCTCTGCAGCTGCTCTTCGTAAATATGTGCAATAAGTTAGAGTCGCTTCACTGGCTCCAAAAGTAGACTCAATCGGCAAGAGAGAGGCCAATAAAAACAGCTCCCTGGACGCAAATAAAACCCAGAGCGTCAAATATAGCCGCAATGAGATTTACTCGGCAGGAAAGCGGAGGGAGATTTGTCTGGCTCTCTGGGACTGAGTTGAAAGCGTGATAAACCTACATCCCACCTTAACCGTTCGGGTGGCTGATGACACAAGCTTGATCAAAAAGTGGGCGACAAGTGGGAGTTATTGGGTGGGAGACGCGTTTCAATTCTCAAGCTGAACACCACACTTAAACAGAATGAGACCACGCGGCCTAAATGTGCTGAGAATGTGCCAAGTTTCCACTCACTCGTGGATTATGCGCTGTCCAACCAAAAAGGTATGAGTGGGCGAACACAGAGCCATGACTCACTGTCAAATTCATATTGTGGCCGTGGCAGTATTCTTGGCTTTTGCTAAAAATAGTGACCATTCTGTGGTGCCGAGCCAAGACAGTGATAAAACGGTTGCCTTGCTTTGCCAAAGGACCCGCTCTGGATGGCAAAAAAAAAAAAAAATCATTGCAGCTCTTCCCCCCCCCGAAAAGCTTGGCCTCTTAAATAACGCCACGAGATTTTGTGATGAATGTCCACGGATACGAAAGGCAGAGAAAAAAAAAATTAAAAAAAAATCACGCACCAGTTACTGAGTCTCACCTTTCAGAAACACTTAAGTGAAAGTAAATGAATAGTAATGATAATCTGTTGAATGCCCAGCTCCCGTTACAAGATTTCCATTTGCAATTAATCAAGGACAGAAAACCCAGAGTCAGTTAATTAGGCCTGCACCCCCGAACCCTTACAGACACACACACACACACACACGCGCGCGCGCACACACACACACACACACACACGCACGCACACGCACACACACAAAAGGACAGAAACTTCACACAAAACGTTGTTCATTAATGTTAACTTTGGAAGTAAAGAATGTTATTAGCTAGGAATAAGAGAGGAAGAGTTAGAAAGAAGTACATCCCTGTGCGCGCACACACACACACACACACACACACACACACGCACGCACACACTCCCTTTATCCTTCATGGACTCAGCACATAATAATCAGCCGTCTGTTTGACCACCTCAAGATGTTTGTTTAAACACCCCAACACCTCCTTTAATCCACCCATCTCCTCTAAAAAAAAAACATCTCATGCAGTCCTTAAATGAAACGCATCAACAGAGTCAAGGATAGACACGAGCTCGGTAGCAATTCCAGAGGATCCGCCGGCACCAAAATAGCCACCCAGCCAGCCACCTCTCCTCTAATAATAACTTTAGGTGCTGGAACAGCAAGGTTGAGCCTAAAAATGCGCCTTTAGAATGAGTGCATGTGTGTGTTGCTGATTCTTATTTGCATTCAGTAAGGGATCGAGGAGGGTGGGCGGTGGAGTGGGGGGTAAGCCTGCTGCATTTTGCACGTCTTCAGCTGTACAGGAGGAGGGGGGGATGGGGGGGGGTGGGGGAACTTACCCTTTACTGAGGCGACCAGTAGCCCCATATATAAGAACAGCACCGGCTCCAATGGTGCGCGTGCACTCCTGCCTTCATTAGAGCAAAAATTCGTATTCCGTCCCTTTCCTGTATGCGCATTCCGGTCTCCTCGCGAGTCCCGTAGCTCCGTCAACGTTTGAAGCGGCGGTCATGGCAGGGGCTTTTTTTCTCTCTCTGGTCTGGCAGGCACGATAGTTCTCAGATAGTCAAAAAAGGGAGATTCACACGGTGTCGGCGCTGAGAAAAATCCCAATGCATGGAGGAGGCTCGGATCTCGCAGCTGGACTGAACCATGTCATGCGGGCACCGGGGGTTCGGAGTCTAAGTCTAAGAAGATATATTTCACACCTAAAGGGGGGAGAAAAGGGAAGGATGGTAAAGCCAAGGGGTAGACGTGATTTAGTGGTCACTGATATACCCCGCACGCGTAAAAATCACGAAAATCCCTCGTCCACTCCACATATGCAACGATATCACCAGATATACGTCAAAAGCCAGGAGATCCCTCCTTCAGTTTGTCCAGCATCACTTATTTGTCCTTCTTATAAATGTATCTCCCTTTAATAACAACATTGGCGGTATCGATAATCCACGTTTTCAACTCGTCCTTAGATTCGAAGGGATGGAAAAAGAATGATGGAGAGCCACAGAGGTTATCCAGATCCAAGGAATATCGCCTCGTTTTGAGAAGTTCTCGACCAATGTTGTAGTGTACTCACCGATCTGAGCGTTTAGAGATAAATGTGCAGTATGGATGTATTCCCAGTATCGAGCGCTGAGCCACAGCGTCGTCTCGGGTCTGTGCGACGCCAAGATTCAGACTGCAGACCTGCTCCTTCTCTGCGCGTCTCTCTCTCTCTCTTCCTCTCACTCATTCGCTCTCTCGCCCCCCCCCCCCCCTCTCTCTCTCTCTCTCTCTCTTCCTCTCTCGCCCTCCCTCTCTCCTCCACTCTCAGCACCTTCTTTAGTCATATCATATGCCTACAGATATCTCCATTCACCTGTGACTAAGATAAACTGATTAGATGTGATAAAAGGTCAATAATTGACATATTTTGCGCGATGATTGATTCTGTCTATCCAACAATTTTCTCATTTCATTGAAAATGCAATACTTGATGATACTAATGATAACAGATAAGAATATTATGATAAGAAGATGATATTAATATGAAACATTAAATCCACCTTGTTCCAATTTGTTATGGTAAGATTTAGGGCCTCACAACGAGGCCATTGTCTCCATCCATTAAGACCAATCATCGGTTTGGCCCAGCGGTTTAACATAGATGTCCACTTCCTGCTCACTAAACGTGAAATTGATGCTTAACAGGCTGGAACCCCTCGCCAGTAAATTTGAATGTCATTTCCACTTTTGCATATGACCGGTGTAATTAGTTTTTCCGCAATGCGCCGCGCGTGGCAACAGTCTGGGTAATGAAATGCGCGTTGGCCTTCAACCCGACATGTATGATGGAGATCATAAAAACTCTTCCCGCAACATTAAATTAAACTTCAGCGACACCTGAGAGCTCCTGTCCTCCTGATCCGGCTGCTCTTGGACACACAGCTACATTGTTTGTGTGGAGATGATGTCTTACAGGCTAACTACTGTGCGTTAGGCTATGTCATGATTTAAAAATGATAGGAAATAACTAAAAGTTGTAAATGTGTATGTGGACAGACAAGCAGGGTCATTCATGCATTAACTAGAGACAACTAAACAGCACTATATTGAATTCAAGTTATGAAAACTAACATGTTGTGTAAAGTCTTCTGGTCTGAAAGCCTAATGAAATCAATTTCATTAAAATCTGTCATTCTCGAATATGAACCGGTTGCCATGGCAGCCTCCGAAGATAACACCAGATATTGTTTCATTTCAAATAGCTGGTTCAAAGTGAACCTGATCAGCCGACATGGCAAGCACATTTATGTGTGAAAAGAGAGAAACAATGATGCACTCACAAGATCCTCGGCTGCAGCTTACTCCAAAACAGTTTCCGGGCGCAGTCCCACCCTTTCCGCGCTCGTCCTGGATCAATCCGCACGTGCCCACTGACAACTTTGATCGCGTTTGCGAAATCATCTGGAGGAGAACCAAAGAGGCTGAGATTCTTTGCAGAGGTTCACATGAGAAACAGCAGAACAAGGACAAAAAGGCTCAAGATTGTAAACAATGTAAAAGGTAAGGCTTGAGCTGCATGGGCACACAACAACGCATCAATCATACGGGAAAAAAATGTCATAGGCCTATGCGATTGCACCTTTATTAAGGCTATATTTAGTAGGATAATACATTTTCAGATAGTCAGTCAGAATGTGTCTGTCATAATAACCATATAGATTTGCAAAAAAAAACCCCAAACAATAATGTGTTTTTAACACATACAGTGGTACTCTTACATTAGGCCTTTGTAAGATCATAAGCCTGGACGAACTGCATCGTTGGTGTGAAAACAGGAATTTTCCTTTCCGGAATGGCTTAATCTCCTTCAGTAGGTCTGATTATGGAAATGTAAAAAAAAAAACTTAAGGGAAATGAAAATAGAACTTTAAATTTTGCTTTGTAGTTCAGGAGTAAAGGGCATTTCTTAGTAGATTAGATGGTTTAATAAGCTGTTGGCCTATAGTAACCAAACCAATAATGTATGCTTTGATAGATCAGTTAAAGCAATTAAAAGGACAGTTTTGGGTTGACACTTCAACCATGTGTTTTTCATCAATTTGTGAATGTTGGGTGTCTATAAAAGATGTTACGGATAAATAAAAATGTTTCTTGAGCTGAAAACTAAAGAAAACTAAAGGTAGGCCTACAACTAAACTGATGAAACAGATCAATGCTGGTGCTAAATTTATGAAAAAAAAATATCTAATAGGTTAAATTAAAATGGCACAAGACATAAACACATCTTCTGTTTTAAACCAGCCTTGACACTTGCAAGACTATCGGTTACAGAGTCAAGCGTTTGGGACAAATCATATAAAACACTGTCAACAACCTTTAATCATTGTCTTTGAGCAATTTACAGTATATTGCCTTCTGCAGTTAAAAGTGATCGTAGCTGAGGGCTGTCCAATTTAGTCTGGTTCTAGTTGAGGTTTCTGTCTGTTGAAGGGCTGATTATTCTTGCCACTGTTGTCAAGTGCTTGCTCAGTTTTAAAGGTCACATATTATAATCATTTTCAACAAGTTTAAATGAGTCTCATAGGTCCCCAAAACATGTATTTGAAGTTTCTTGATAAAAATTAACTCTTAAGCATGCGTATAAACCCCTCTATTTCAGCCCTACTCAGAACAGGCTGTTTCTGTGTCTGTAGCTTTAAATCTAAGTGAGCTGTGACTGACCACGCCCCCTCTAAAAGGGTTTGGTGGCTTGGGCTTTCTTTAATTTAATTTATTTTAAAGGGAAATTCTGGTTTTACACTCCGTTATTTAGAGACACACCCGAATCAAACACATGCACAAACAGCACCTGTGGACAGTGCAGAGATGTCAGAGTGAGGCTGTAGACAGGTTAAGGACACTTATCAGTGTTCAAAAAAACAAACAACAAGTGTGTTTGGCATTATATGTTACTGTAAAATAAGTAAATGGCTAATGGATTGAGGAGGTTGGGTTGATGGAACGATGTATAAGGACGATGTATAAGGAGTTGAAGCCTCTAACCCTGATCTTAACATTTCAGTGTAGATCAGGTGGGCTGCTGTGCGGTCACAGACCCACTGTATAATGTTAATGTACACCATCTGTTCACCGGCCGCCCGGAGCTTCCGTGACGTCCCCGTTATCATAAGCCTCCCTGGTCTCACTGGACCGTCTGTTCCGCATGGCGGCTCGACAGGCGACAGGCTGGTGACTAAAGAGTAGCCTCATTAAAAAGTCATGGTTTGAAGAAGGCGCTGCACCACAAATACAAGAAGGAGCTGTGGTTCCCACCATTCGTCATATTTAAGGCTTCATGGGCTAAATTAAGAGTACAATTAAGTGAGGCTTTACAATTGCAAGACTGTGCATCAACTGGTTGACCTATGGGCCTTTGATGTTAAAAGAGCAATCAGTTAGTTAGGTCAAGATATTTAGCTCAACCGATATTAATATTACCAGAACGTTTGAAGCTTTTGATTCGACATGAACAAGCAGAAAACTGTTCCAGTGCCTCCAATTAAACCTAATTTGTGCCTGTTCGAGATACAAGTGACCTTTTAAAAAAATTAATAATCAAAATAACGATTACGTTCGAAAAGAAATGTCACATGCTTCTAACATCCAACAAAGAACGCCTACATTTTCTAAGAGACGAAAATAATCAGCCACTGATTTCAGGTTTTTACTTTCTTTGCAAAAGAAAAAAAACCCTGATTTGCATACAAGACAGCAGGAGCAAGCTAACCTTGTCATGATAGAAATTGTTGTTTGATGGACTGTCACATGTAAAAGCTGTGTTAACCAGGCAACACTCCCCCACATGTCTGTGTCCCTGTCTAGGACTGAGGGGCGGCAGAAAAAGACAGATGATTCGGGTCCGTACACACAGTATGGGGAGGACAAGCGGCAGAACACCGGCTTCATCTGCCCTCATCCTTTCCTGCCTGGCTTCATCCTTCCCTGCCCTTATCTCCCAGGCCGCAGACATTTCGCAAAGCCTTCACGGATACCGAACCTTGTGATGGAGGGACAGATGAAGCGATATGAGGAAGAGGCAAAGGGGCAAAGAAACTCGGTGAGGATCATGACTTTAGAGACTAAAGTTCTTTTCTGTGTCAGTTAACACAACCTTTTTTTTAAAAAAGCAAAAACATTTAAGTGATATGAATATTTGTGGTTGTTCTGTTCATGTCCATGTCAGGAGAATTTAGAAGACAAACTAAAGAGTTTTGAAATTTCCCAGGAGACGATTTTGGTCCCCCAATGGAGCAGCAGAAGAGACGCACAGAGCTCTGCACCTGAACCTGAACATCTGGGAGGAAATGTGGACTTCTCTGCCTCTGAAGGCAACAACTCATACCTGCAGAAAAAAGAGAATAAGAAACAGCCTCCGCGTACTCCTAAACTAGGGAGCTTGAGTGATGATGACGATTTAGTAACTCTACCTGGGGCACGAACATGCGCCTCTGATAGCAGTGGTGATGACTCAGCGCATGACAACAA